TTTTTTTTCGACAATGATTAAATTTCATGTTTCTTAATAACTTTCTGAATTAAAGATTTGAAGATGGTATAGTTATCATATCGCTACTTTCAGCTTGTGCAATGAAATTTACTCCTGCTTCTCTAATAAAAAAAGAGCTGGGATATTCAGGTAATAGCTTATCAAAATAAACAAGAGGAATTTACAAATAAGAGCCCGGAAATTGAAAATAATTACAAATACGGGCCCAAATTAAAAATAACTACCGTAAAATATGGAAAATAAACACAGCACCCTCTACCCTGCTTTTTTTAATTTCAGATTAACGGGAATAACTTGCTATTTCCGTTAATCTGAAATTGAAAAAAGTAGGGTAGAAGGTGCTGTGATTATTCTCCATATTTTACGGTACATATAAAGGCCTAATATTTAAAAAATATTATATATAAGGGCCCAAATCTATTGATGGCTGAAAAAAACGGATCACAGGTTTATAACGATAGCATAGCAAAATCGCGGTTATAGGATTATCGATTGTATTATTAGACATTTAGAGTTTATACTGATTATTAGATATAAATGAAGTGCTAGTTAATCGTTTTCGCTTAAATATTGCGTTAAACTAGCACAATTATTTATAAGTGAAGAGTAGCTCTCTAAAGCTGAATGAACATCTTCATATTAGTAAATGACATGCCAATTCGCAATGTTTTACTTGACATCATAATGGTTTGTTAAAACAATAAGCAATTTCATACAAAGAAAATTAAATTTATTAAATTTAAAAATTTTCTTTTCTCATTTATAATTACTATATAATTTACAATAGATCGTTACATTTTTTATGTAATGTTTACGTTTCTTATACTAATAACGTTCAAGCCACTGTCGTAGTTATTTTGGGCCATATTTTTTAAAAATTAGGCCTTTATATGTAATTGTTTTTAATTTGGGCCCGTATTTGTAATTATTTTCACTTTCCGGGCCCTTATTTGTAAACTCCCCCATAATATATTATCCTTTATTAACATCTATAGTATCATTTTTTCAAAGATACATCTACAACTACGAATCCCAATGAAGTAATTCCAGTCATTCTTCGACCCGGAGATATTCTTACGATGAGTGGACCTGCTCGATACGATTGGGCACATGGTATTGAGGCTACTAAAATTGATATAGTTGGAGATGAGAGAATTGTTCGAAAAGTGAGAGTTTCAATTACTTTGAGAAAGATGAAAGAAATACAAATTTTGAATCAATGCGCTGATAAGTAATGGACTTAATCATGGTAGTCATGATATAATCATAGTATAAAAGAATTAGATAAACAACCTGTAAAATTCTATTTTAAGTTAATATATTTATAATTATCAATATATTTTTAAACATCTCTGATCGTGTATGCGGTATTTTAGTAGTATGTTTTTTCAAAAAAAATCATTTAACATAGCTATTGGTTGTTTTACAGTAGTGGTTTTGCATGTTTTTTATTTGAGTTCGTAAATAGACATTAGTTTTCCGTGTTACATTTCTTGATAAGTTAATGAATTAAACATAAACATTTTAAACATTTGGATTATAACTTCTGAAATTATATTTAGAATTTTCATGAAAATCTGATGTCAGAATAATGGTATAAATATTTTACAGTTAAAATTCAGATTATACATGTACTGTCGCGAAATAGCGCAAAGGTGTAATTTCAAAATTTGAGCCAAATTAAGCTTAATTTAAGCCATTATTTCGTGACAATATAGTAGGTGTTTTCAATTTAAAAACTTTCTAGATGTTTAACTTCTAAGAAATTTGATATGACAATACGATATTGCGCTCTAATTAATAATAGATCATTTCGAATATCGGCCGTGATCGAAATAGTGTACAAGTATTATGACATAATTTTAGCTTCTTTAGATAAAAAATCAATACGATAGTATTATTAAGATTTCCCTTGTTGTGATTTGTTAATAATAGCAATACGTTAGTGTGTTGATACCATAATAAAAAGTGTAAAAGTGCTTGAACAATAACTAGGATTTTCTAATTAATCATTTCATTTGTGTTAAGTGCTTGTAGTCGACATAAATCAACTAAGGTAGTATTTAAAAATCGACTACTAAATCGAATTACTGTATACAGTCAACCTCTATATAATCACTTAGTTGGGAGTATAAGAACTTTTTTAAAAAATGTGCTTATAAAGAGATTGCGCTTATATAGAGGTTTTTTCTATATATTTGTAGTAGTTTATTTAACAAAATTAAGTGGTAGAGGTCTGACTGTATTAAATACATATAGGATGTTCTATAGAATAGGTGGGCAGACTCCGCAAACTCAGCAACTCCGCTAAATATTTATTAATGATTACTAATTAGTAGCAGAGTTTATTTTTCATATTGCCCACCTATTCTATAGAACATCCCAGCTGTTTTCAAAAAGGTGTGAACGGTCGCAGTTCACCATACCGTAGTTTTCAAGACCCGCTCTAATCGGAGGTTTAGTTTTTACTAATATAAATTTCCGATTTCCCACATAGGTATATGGAAATCATTGTTCACATATTTTTGAAAACGGCTGTAAATGAATTAACAGTAAATACTAAAATATATCGATATATGTATCATGAAATGAAATCTATATTAATGTAAATGTTCATAAAATTGAATATATAGCTTATTATGTATGTATATACTTAGGTTAATAAATGTTCTTACAAGATAGTTTAATACGAATAAAATGAAATAAAAATATCAAATATTTATTAACTTGAATGAATTACTTTAAACAAATTTAGATTATAGTGCATAAAAAATTGTTTTTAAAAAAAAGAACTATTATTACTTATGCAGTGGTTAAAAATAACCATCCCTATTAAAATTTAGGTTAGGGTGCAGCTTTAAGTTAAAATAGAAGTTTTAGTTTTTATATAAAATGGTTTTTTTTTATATAACATAATATATAGAGTTCTGATCCCAGTTCTCCAGGGGTCTTGAACAGTTTTACTTAGAACCCAACCATATTTACGAGATATAGCATACTGGTTATTCTTAACCACTGGCATAAGTTAAAAATGTCCAAAAAAATCCAGAAATTTCATACTGGGCTGAGTTCGAATTCTGCGTCCAGCTGTTCTGTGTATTTGAACGTCAACGGTCCCGCGTCCGGTAAGGTTGCAAATTTCCTCCCTCGCTGAAAACTATTCCCAACCTAGGACCTACAACCTCCTGGTAGCAATCCTACGCCCTTAATTATTAAGCCAAATCAGATTTACTTTTTTCGACATATCGGCGGATTTGTGGAATTTGATAAATAGAAAAACCCATGAGCCGTAACTCTGGTCAAATTTGCAGATCATTGGGCTGGGTTTGAAATTATTTGACCTCAAAGCTGGATAAATGATCTGCAAATTTGACCAGAGTTACGACTCCTGGGTTTTTCTATTTATCAAATTCTACAAATTCGCCGATATGATCAGATTTTTAAAATCAATATAAAAAATATATATTTGGGTTGAAATTAATCTTGTGATCATAGTATCAGAACTTATCGACTTTAATTATTCGTTGTAACGGATTAAAATGAAATATTGTACAATGTAAAAAAAAATAGAGAAGCTACCGAAAAATAAAAATTTCTTTTTAGGGTTAGAGGTTAATTTTAGGGTAGAGTTTATAATAAACAAGTATAAGTGGGTTTTAGAGGGTTAAATAGAAACTCTCATTTCATTTTAATCATGATCTGTGACACTTAACGTTAATGAGATTGTAATTCCCGACACATGTTGACCCTTTGAGAATATCCTAAGCTTACCAATGGATATCGCACTGATCTATGTTTTTCAATGCGTACATTGATAGGGAAGCATTTCTAGTGCCGACAAGATTTATTCTAAAATCTGAAACCTCTTAATGCTCGGTTTAGAATTTGATTTGTGCTTGAATTTTGAATGATCGTAAGGTTTGCACTTGATGATCTTATATTAAAACTACTAAACAGCATAATATAGTTGTAATTTTTTTTAGTTACCGTCATATTTATCATTACAGATTGACATTCATATAATTAAAAAAATAAAAATTACAATATATTTGACAGGATACTTCCGTGTTCTAAATAGGTTATTTTTTATTTATTTATTTTTTAATTAGATATTGTTTACTTGCCCCTGGTTAAATCAGAACCCCGAAAACCTTATGCATAACAAAATTTGGATTTTTATATCAAATTTTTATGTTATTTAAACCTCTATTTCATATTAAAATTGCACCCTAACCCTACAAAATTAGAGATGGTTAACATCACACTGGTTAAAATTAGTTATTTTCTTTTATTTTATATATTTTATTTTATTTCATTTTATTTTAAGTCTTATGAATAAAGACTAACTATAGTTTTTATATCAAATTTATTATATAAAAAGCGGAGAATTATATTTTAACCCAGTTTAAAATAGAATTTTATTTAAATATATATATATTATTTTGATCTTTGAATCTGTGCTCAAAACTTTTCACTTTATTAAACTTTTTTGCCAATTAAAAATTTTCTTTTTTCACTAAAATATAATATCTGATTAATTCAATATTCTGTTGTTGTAGTGAAAATAAGTTCAAAAAACTCAATATTAAAGATTCCAGGGGTTTATAATTTCCCACCACTTCACTATCGGAGACTACAAATTGATTAATAACACAAATACTCTGATATATGAATAATTAGAAGTGGTGAGGAAAATTAGTAAACTCAGGTCTAGCTAATAAACAAGTAACAAGTTCGATTTATGCATTATGATTACACAAGATTTTTTACATACAGTATCAAAAAACATAAGGAGTAGAGGTACATCATATGACAGCTCTTCTGGCCGTAACTAAACGTTTTGCCAAAACTCATCTCACGCATCTCACGATCTGCACGAGTTTTATTAGACACGAGTATGAATGCATAAACTATATACAAATGTACTACGAGTGAATATACAGTTATATGACTGTTAAACAATTTTTTTAATTATCCATGCTTATAAAACTCTTATTTTATACCATTTGGTTATTCTTAATAGTTATAAGAGATGCATACAATCAAAAACATTGGTTTTGTTAACTATAGTTTGTGGTTACGGATGTATGAAAGTGTAAAAACGGGTGCAGGTCATATTAACTGTAACAATGGAGTCTATAGAATTTAGAATAATATATATTCATGTTGAAAAAGAGTAAAATACATTATACATTATTAATATTAAAGATTTTAACGTTGGATAATATTGCAATGTTTTTAATGATCGATAATTCTAGGACATCATATTACATATCAATTTTTAACCATAACGATAAGGGCTATTAAATATGAGTTTACGTAACATAGATACCAAAGATTTTTTATAGTATTAAGCTACTAATTTATTGATATTTAATCAGCCAATCATGTTTGATGAAGGTCATCTGACACGATAGCCAATTAAAAAGAACTTCCGTTATGCTATTTTAAATAAATATAAATTTATTTAATTTTGAAACTAAACAATCGTGACGGATTAAAATGAAATATTGTACAATGTAAAAAATAGATAAGCCACCGAAAAATAAAATTTTTGAGGTGCATTGCTTAGCAGTGATGGTAAATGACCTGGCCATTTGCAAATTTTTTAAATGACCTCAAATGACCTCGAAATGACCGGTCATTATCGGTCATCTCAATTTTGGGTCATTTGGAAATGACTCGTGACCAAATGACCATGGTCATTTAGAAATGACCAGGGTCATTTAGAAATGACCAGGGTCATTTAAGGGTCATTTAGTCTACAGGCTGGGTTAGGCTAGGTATTTGTATACTTGGGCCCAAGCTCAATAAAAATTTATATGCCCGCCCAACCCGGGAATGGTAATGATTCGGTCGTTTGGTTAAATTTAAATGACCTAAATCATCAAATCATGACAAGATCATTAAGCTCATTTACGTAGGTCATTTGCATATAAAATAATTTTATTGGTCGAATTGCTCATATAAAAATTAAAAAACTATATTACATTCCTAATTGATATCGTAAAAGTTCATATACTAGATCTCCCGAAATAGTAGACCCACTATAAATCAGACCTGGGTCTGTAATATAGATGAAGGTTTTGGTGAAATGTAGTAGACCCGGGTATACTATAAGAAGCAATAATTAAAAGACCCAGGTATAGTATAGAAAACAAGTAAATTAAAAGACCTGGGTATAATATTAGACTACTATATATATAAGTAATGTTTCAATAATTCAATTTCTACAGTCAAACCTCCATAAATGCAATCTCCATAAATGCAATACCTCTCTAAATACATATTTCTAGCCTGGCTATAAGAAATTATTAGTGCTAAATGCATGTTCTATATTCTGCAAATGCACGTTCACTCAAAAGATTTTCTATATCATTCTAACCTCCCTAAATGCACGTAGCCAATCAGAATTCAGTATCCAAGTTGTGTTACACAAGCCTGCAGATCAAACATTAAAAGCTGCAATTTGATTGGCTTTCTCTAAATGCAAACCTCTCTAAATGCATGATTGAAGCTGGTCTGTATGCAGTGCACTTATGGGGGTTTGACTATATTATCGTTATCAATATTTATATAATGCATATTTATTTACTATAAGTTTAAACTTCTGAGTATACATACTGAGTTTTACAGCTTTTCTTATGATATGTTTTTAGCTAAAAAAAGATCTCTCTAATACAATAAATGTTTCTACACTTAGGCTAATCTAAGTTGTATATTTGCCCATAATATATTAATTAATGTATTCATATGAACTATCCAAATCTGTAGTAATTTTTCATATTGCGCATTATATGATAAGTTTCTCCATGCACCTTAATGATAGTGTATTATTTAGTTCAAAGTTGTTGATATAAACGATTTAATAATTTGAGTTTGTAAGGAGGGAAAGTAATTATTAATAAATAATATATAAAGCGAAGTAAATGTAGAAAGTTATTTTTAAGAATGATTAGGAAAAATATAATGTATAAGATTGTTATGCAATAGATCTAATGCCAATTATTTTATTTATATTAGCAAGTGAATTTATATACACTATACTCTTTGATTACTTAGTATTTAAAGATCCTTCACATATCTATTATACAATAAATTTCTTTTTGTTATTTGGTTATTTTTTAATAATTTGTTTAAATTTGCAATTTCATATATATTTACTTACTATCAAAATATTATTTGTATTACAGTTTTGAAAGTTCTAATCTTATGAATTAGTGTAGACGACTACTTTATTATCATAATATGTATCTATTTTTTCATCATAATAATCTTCTTTATCCAAGTTAAATTGCTTATCTGAATAACTTGAATTATCAGCGTTACTTTCATTCAAACCTTCATTTCAATCTTCACTTAGATTTTCATTCCAATCTTCATTTTGATTTTCGTTCCAACCTTCATTTTGATTTTTGTTCCAACCTTCATTCTAATATCTATTCTGATTTTCGTTTCAATCTTCATTTTGATTTTTGTTCCAATCTTTATTCCAATATTTATTTCCAATCTTTATTTTGATTTTCATTCTGATCTTTGATCCAATCCTTATTCCAACCTTTATTCCAACTATTTTCTTCAGCTTCGTTCCTATCATTTTCCTCATCTTCATTCTAACTATTCTTGTTCATCAAACTGTTATTAATTTTATTATCATCTTCATACAGATTGTTGCCATTATCATTGCTATCATTAACTTCACCATCATCAACTTCATTATCATCGCCATCATCGACTTCATTACCATCGCCATCATCGACTTCATTACCATCGCCATCATCAACTTCATTATTATTGCTATTATTATTGTCTTAAGTTAAATTAATGACACTTTCATTACCATTTGAATTATCTATATTGACATATATAAAATTACTTCTTTTATTTCGAGCTTCTGGGTTATTTACCCAATCATAATTAAATATAACATTTTCTTCAGAACCATCTTGAGCAGTAGAAATACCGCAACACTTAAATGATCGTTTGATAAGAGCAGAATTAACTTGGTCCCATGCTTTTTTTATCCACTCAGCTACTACATTATAGGCAGGACGCTGAATACAACTAGTAGGTGTTAGTTTTTTAATTTTTTCGCTCATCCAATTGAGATAGTGATTGCGATACTTTAATTATTATGTAATTATTTTGTAATTATATATTATATTTATAATTTGTAATTATTGCATAATTGTGTAATGATAATAAAAATCAAAAAATTGATCTAATATAAATATTAATTTACCTTGTCTTTGAACGATTTGTTAATATATATATCTAATGGCTACAATTTTTTAGTGAGCCCACCCGGAATAATTGCAAAGTTAGTATTTTTTTCTTTAAATTTATTTTTAACCAGATCTGTTGTGTGCCCACTAAATTAGTCTATAACAAATAAAGAGCAAGAATTAACAGACAAGGAAGCATGGCGGCTCCAAATATTTTCTATTCAAAAAATTATTTCATCCGAATTTATGTATCCTTGTGGATTAGCTCATATAACAACACCTTGTAAAAATGTTTGCCGAGACACATTTACTAACTTAAAGATTATCATTGGGGTAATTTGGTTCTGTCGGCTAGACAGCTTAGAACAATAGTAAAAGTGGATTTTTCATATCCAGTTGTACAGATTGAAACAGTATGAGCACCCGTCTCTTCAACAGTATAATTATTAGGTACATCAAAGGCTAATAGTGTCTTATCCATATTGCCAATAAGTGGAAGAGGATAATTGTAAAGCATACGATGATATAGTATATTGCTTAAAAATTCATCTCTTAGAGGTTCTAGCAATCTTTGTGCTACAGTAGTATGACACCGATTGCTAAAATTATTACAACGCATAAAGCCCTCTACCCACTTTTCACCCATTTGAATTCATTGATTGTTGGATATATTGAAACAAAATGAGATTGATTTGCAAGCTGTTTGGCTTTAGTTCTAATCATTTGTTGTAATACAATTTTTTGTTGTGAACGTAAAGATTTAATCCAATTTTTAAGATCAGCTTCTAAAAGTGGATACTTAGGACGTGCACCAATATTTAACTGTTTGACATAAGCTGGAACATTTTTTAATTCATTTTTTTTTTTAATCCACTTGCGTAATTGCTTAGGTGTTATATTAAATTGTGTTGCAATGCCTTGCTTACTAGCATTAGGATTTCTTTCAAGATATGTAACAACCGCCAATTTCTCACGTGTATTCCAGCTTCTTTTTTTTTTTTTAGTAACATTTGATTGCTTTACTTTTGCTTTATTATATTTCATGTTATTCTATACTAAAAACATAAATCAAAATATATAACATAATATGTATTTTATGTCAAAATAAAATTTATTACCTTCTTGTTAAAAACTTGTTTATTCAAAATGTAATAGAATTGTAAAAAAACACAAAAATTTTTTTGAATTATTTGAATCGTTAATTAATATAAATAAAATTTACACATGTCAATCATATTAATAAGTCAATTACTATAGCGATTCCACACAGTATGTGTAGCACCCATGATCATGTTTTGGGTTATTAAATAAATTGTTATCATTATGAGAAAGTTGGTCTAACATTCGTTTATAAAAAAATTTTAAATCTTCTTACCATGTAGTTCACTTTAACCATCTATGCAGGTATTGATTTTTTTTTTTTGTTTGTTTAATATTTTCCCATTAGATTTCTTGTTATGTTTATATTTAAGAATAATAAAGTATTTTAGGTTTGATATATGCCAACATTTTTATAAACGATCGAGTTTGAAGTTGTTGATATCTCATTTGTTTTGTTAGTCCAAAGACTGTGTTGCATATTTACTTATATGATTTATATTTCTGTCTTACTACATATCTCTTTTATATGTAACAAGCATATTTCATTGAGATAATTATGATCATAATGAATATTTATTTGCCAAGTTGTCACTGAGAATTTTCACCTTTAATGCCTAAATCTGCCAATAGATTATTTGTTCAAGTTTATTTGAAACAAAGTTCGCACTTTTATACATATGTACGTATATGAATTGCAGGTTTTTTATTTACATTGTGTTACTAGACCCCGCACATAAAAACTCCACTCGCATAAAAAACCCCACCCACATAAAAACCTCTCCTGATTATCAGACCAATACCTGTACAACAGACCCCGGGTCTATTAAAGGTTTTAAAATCGGTGGAATGTAACAGACCCGGGTCTAGTATATGAACTTTTACGGTAATTGTAGCTACATACATACATATTAAAGTCAAATTTTACTAAACCAATTAATATTTATAAATTTTAGAATTTAAGTAAATTATACTATTTTTAATACGTTTTTTTATAGTGTTCAAAGACAAGCCGGCTTATCACGGCTTGCTGCGGCTTAATGCAGCTTATCACGTGGTAAATTCGAATTTATCACCAAGCCATGTGGTAATCGCGAAAATATCACGTGATAAATCCGAAGATATCACATAGTTTGATGATAAATTCGAATTTATCACGTGATAAGCCGCATTAAGCCGCAGCAAGCCGTGATAAGCCGGCTTATCTT